GTTTTCACCGAGAGAAGATTTTCGTGATTTTGATAGAAGAAGATGGATCTCAATCTTGAGAGAAGGAGCAGCCGGAGGAGAAAAATCGGTTGCGGTCTCGTGCTTCCGTGACAGGAGAGCGGCGAGCTTTTCACGATCTTGAGAGAAGGAGCAGCCGGAGGAGAAAGATCGGCTGCGGTCTCGTGCTTCCTTGAGAGGAGAGCGGCGAGCTTTTCACAATCTTGAGCATGAAAAAGCGAACAGGGGCAAAAGCGAACGGGGAGTTAGGGCTTCCGCTCTTTCATTTCCTTTATATAGTATAATATAAAAATAATAATATAATATATTATAATAATTATATACCTTATATTATATAAATATATAATACCTATATTATTAGAGTTTAGATAGTATGTAAATGTATTATTATTAATAATTTATTTTACATTATAATTTACAGGTTTTAAATTTTAAAATATATTAATTTTTTTGAGTATATAATTATTTTAAAAATATCATAAATTATATATATATATTTATTTAATTTTTTTTTAATTTCGAACAATAACGATTCGAACACGAACGAACGCATCACTGTTCGTGTTTGGTTCGTTTAGCAAATCGAACGAAAAAAATTGTTTGTGTTCGTCTCGTTTGCTTATCGAACGAATCGAACACGAACGCTCTGGCGAATCGAACACGAACTGTTCGCGAACAACGAGCTTTTTTGACAGCCCTACCTGCAATGCTCTATGGCGCTGAATGTTGGCCTTTAAAAGAGAAGCATAATACTAAGTTAAGTGTTGGGGAAATGAGAATGATTAGGTGGATGAGTGGCTTTACACTTAGAGACAAAATGCAAAATGAATATATATGTGATAGGGTTGGTGTAGCTCCTGTGATGGACAAAATTAGAGACAGTTGTCTTAGATGGTTTGGTCACATTTAGCGTCGACCATCTAATGATCCGATTAGGAGAGTAGATGTTTTAGATTCGACTTATGTTAAGAAAGACAGAGGTAGACCTAGGAAGACTTGGGCTTATTGTATAAAAAATGATCGTAATTTATTAGAACTAAATGAAAATATGACACTAAATAGGGTGCAAGGGAGAAAAAGGATTCATCTAGGCGATGTCACTTAGTTGGATTAAGGCTTTGTTGTTGTTGTTGTTGTTTAAAGCAAAAAATAAAAGCATGCAAAAATTGCACTAAACAAACGTAGTTTTAAAATAAAAAAGAATAATAATAATAATAAAAAAAACAAAAGTAATCCCAAACATGCCCTTAGTTATGCAACTGATTGCATTCGGATAGCATTTCAATGCTTGCCCCCTTCTATTATCCATCTATGCGTCATCTCTTTTCCGTTGAATAGTTCCATTTTCACATTGGAAGCACACACATCATAGTCAAATTGAATATTGTTCAATTTTTCTTTGAGTAGTTCAGAATTATCGTTTAGCTCCTTCTAGAATGTTTGAATGATAACCACTTTTCACTGTCTTCCCATGTTAGTTTATACTCATTATTCGTAACATAATTTAATGCCTCCTTTGGGATTTACACCTGTTTATGGTAATCATCATCACCATCATCGTCATCATGATCAACCATGTGGTAATAGGCTGCTTGTTTTTGATCATTCTCACATTCTCATCAATAGTTTATCCAAACTATGCAAGTGTAGTCATCTATTCTTTTGAATGGGGATGTATTGTTGTTAATTCTTGTGTCACTAACCTTTCTTTTTTATCTGAAATTCATTTTTGTATATATTTCCCTCCTTATCCACCGTGGTGTTGGCTTCATACATTCTATGTCTAACCCAATATTCATTTTGCCTTTAGTCTCACCATACCTTAAGATGACCGGAAAAATGTGTTTTTGAATTTCACTAAAGCCATGAATGTTTTTGCTTATGATCTGGATTCATGTCTCATAAGTGATGTGACTGCTGTAGAGTAGGCTCTCTAATTTAATTTTAACATTGATGCAATACTATGTTTATTTAACTTTGATGCAATATTAAAGTGCAAGTCTTTCTTAAGAAAAGGCCTGCTGCAACAATTATTTATATACTAACAATGCTTTAATAGAAAAATGATGAAATTTAATATCAATGATAGCTTTCTGGCTTTCCTATTAGAAAATTATAACGAGGAACATAGATCATATAACAACACAATTCATTCGTATTTGATGTAAAAAGAAGAAATTCGGGATGTTTAATAGATCCAAATAACACCTATCTCAGTTTCAAAACAATCATGAAATAATAAATTCGGGCATTTGCATACATACCACCCAATTCCTATGTATTTACTTATCTAACATTTATCTAACATCTAAGTATTTACTTATCTAACATCTAAACTTTACTTTTTACATTTATTCCACCCAAATTTTTCGTATCACATAAAAAATACCATCATTTTAACATTTAACAGTGAAATACACATTTTCATGCATATTGTAAGGTGGCATGGATGTAAAGGTTGAAGTTTAGGTGTTCAATGTGTAAATACATAGGAATTAAGTAGTATGTATGTAAATCATCTGATAGAAGAAGGTGAAAGAATTGAATGATAAAGCTAGTAGACAATGAGATCAACTTGTGCTTGAACTTCCTCTCTCACGGATGTTTTGAAATATACAATTGATTAATGATCAAATCCAGTGAAATAAGGAAGAAGGTCCTTCACATCCGAACTAGTACTTTTAATCTTTCTTTCCATCATTTGTTTTACTATCTTGGAACACATTTATTTATAGATGGACTGCACGGAAGTCCCCAAAATAAAGGATGGCTCATTCTTTAGAATTGCAGGAGTTCTCACAATTCCCATCATTGCCAACATTAAAGTCTACTTTAAACTGAAACTGGCTCATTCATGCGAAATAATAATATGGAATTGGATCCTGGTGTAACCAATCATATTTCGATGCCTGCTAACTGAGGTTCTAAGAATTCTTGTGAATACAATACTCTCAGGGCTTGTTTGGGATGAATTTTTTGTTTTTTGTTTTTGCTTTTTCTTTATTCTTAAAAACATGTTTGTTTTCGGTGTTTTTAACATGTTTTTATATTTTGCTTCTAAAAATAAATTTTAACATGTTTTTGAAAATACTTTAAACATCTTCTAGGTGTATCAATTTGGATTTATGCCGGGCAGGACTACCATGGAAGCTATACATTTATTGAGAGGTTTGATGGAGAAGTTCAGAGATAATAAGGAGAATCTACATTTGATTTTTATTGATTTAGAAAAAGCTTACGATAAGGTTCCAAGAGATATCCTTTGGAGAGTTCTCGAGAAGAAATGTGTTGATATGACTTATATTCAAGTCATTAAAGATATGTATACTAGAGCTGTTACTTGTGTTCAAACTGAAGGAGGATTGACAAAATATTTTCCTATTTCTGTTGGTTTACATCAGGGATCGACTTCTGCTCTTTCAGCAGCCTGCTGTCCCTACCAATTCACTTTGCTGACCACTACCACCTCTGGATCTAATCCTAGGGTGAATTTGTGTTGTTGTTTGTTGCAATTTCAGATTTATGTTTGTTTGTTGTAATTTTCTATTGGAAGTTGGTAATAATATTTATTTTTTCATTGTTATTTGGTTTAATAAGTTGGTTTGATCAAATTATTAAAAGGTGTGAACGATTTAGATATCTTGGGTCCGTTGTCCAAAGCGATGGTGATATAGATGGGGATGTTAATAGTAGAATTCAAGTTGGTTGGTTGAAGTGGAGGAATGCTTCGGGCCTTTTGTGTGATAGAAAAACAACGCTTAGACTGAAAGGAAAATTTTATAAGACGGTGGTGAGACTTGCAATGCTCTATGGCGTTGAATGTTGGCCTTTAAAAGAGAAGCATAATAATAAGTTAAGTGTTGCCGAGATGAGAATGATTAGGTGGATGAGTGACTTTACACTTAAAGACAAAATGCGAAATGAATATATTCGTGATAGGGTTGGTGTAGCTTCCGTGACGGACAAAATTAGAGAAAGTCGTCTTAGATGGTTTGATCACATTAAACGTCGACCATCTGATGATCCGATTAGGAGAGTAGATGTTTTAGATTCGACTTGTGTTAAGAAAGGCAGAGGTAGACCTAGGAAGACTTGGGCTTATTGTATTAAAAATTATCTTAACTTACTTGAACTAAATGAAAATATGACACTAAATAGGACGCAATGGAGAAAAAAGATTCATGTAGCCGACCCCACGTAGTGGGATTAAGGCTTTGTTGTTGTTGTTGTTGTTGTATCTTCTAGGTGTATCAAGTATTTTTAAAAACAATCATATCTTAATCAAACATGTCAAATATGTTTTGTTTTAAATCAAATAGTCAAAAAAAGAAAAAAAGAAAAAAAAGGAACACAAAAGTCATCTTAAACAGTCCTTAAATTTTGTGACCTAGAATGCTCCAAAAATTCCACGAACTTAGTTGGAAGTTTCCTTGGTTTTCATCCTTTGCTCTAGGTTGCTCTTCTTAATGGTCCATTTGGGTCTTCTAACCAATTTAACATGCAAAAGCTAGACACAAGCAAGCATTTTGGTTGGTGAGCGCAAACTTCAAGCTTCTAATCAAACACTTGGTTTCTCTGTTTTTTTTTTGTTCAATTTCTTGGCGAGCAGAAAATATGACAGCACATTTCCATTTTTATTGTTCCTGAAAATTGCTCTTTTACTTGTTTAATCTTAACCTGCTTGAAAAAAAAATAAATTTTTTTTGGAAGATTTACATAGATTCCACTCAATTCGTATGTATTTACATATCTAACATCTAAACTTTATTTTTACATATATGCCACTTAACCTATGCATGAAAATATGTGTTTCACTTCTTAAAGTTAAAAAGGCGATTTTTTATGTGATATAAAGATTTAAGTGGTATAAATGTAAAAGTCAAGTTTAGATGTTAGTTAGGTAAATATATATGAATTGGGTGGTATGTACGTGAATGCCTTTTTTTTTTGCCAATGTAATGGACCTGTGCTCCCATTGGCAGGTATAGGGTTGGGAATGGGTTTCATGTTGTTGCCGCACACACGGATAGTCCATGTTTAAAGCTGAAGCCGAGGACTGCTTCTTTAAAGACTAATTACCTTATGGTGAATGTACAGACTTATGGAGCTGGCTTATGGCATACGTGGTTCGATAGAGATCTCAGTGTCGCAGGACGAGTTATCATGAAAGCTGGTGATGATTTTTTCACACATGAACTTGTAAAAGTGAAAAGACCTATTTTGCGAGTGCCAACATTGGCCATACACCTAGACCGGTTTGTGTTTCAATAACTATCTTTCTTTGTACGTTGATAAATTTCACACATGTACTTTTCATTATTTTGTTCTTTAGCAACTTGATAAACTTAGGGCTTGTCTGAGATCAATTTTGTTTATGTTTTTTTTTTTGTTTTTTATTTTATCTTTTAAAATATATTTATTTAGTGTGTTTTTTCTATATTCTTATTTTTGATGTCCAAAAGTAAATAAACATGTTTTTAAAAGTACTCAAAATAAGTCTCAAAACACTTGTTTTGGGTGTTTTTAAAAATAATCATTTTTTAGTTAAATAGTTAGACATGTATTGTTTCAGATCATAACATAAACAAAACAAAATAAAAATAAAAAAGAAAAATTAAAAAATAAAAGTGATCCCAAACAGTCCTTTAGAATAAAGAAATACATAATCTAAGGTTATCTATTTACTGTTAAACGAATCATTCACAATGTGCCTTTTTCTTTGACTTTCAATGTAAATGTTGTTGAGCAAACGATGTTAGAAGAAAGCTCTGGTGATTTTTCTGCTATTTGAAATGAAATGGAATGATAGAGTGCAGACATATACTCTTGAAATCTTAAATGAGACATGTTGTTGAGCAAACGATGTTAGAAGAAAGTTCTAATGATTTTTCTGCTATTTGAATTGAAACGGAATGATAGAGTGCAGACATATACTCTTGAAATCTTAAGTGAAACATGTGTTATGTTTAACTGCTTGGATTAGTTACTGATAAATTCACAAGTTTTTTTATAAAGTATATTGTTAATATCATGTTCCACGTTCTAGAAGAAAATTTTTATTTTTTATTTTATATGTCAAAATAGAGAAGGAAGATTTACATAAATACCACTCAATTCCTATTTACTTACATATCAAAACCTAAACTTCAATTTTTATACGCAGACCATCTTACATATGCATATTAAAATGGTAGTATTTTTGATATGATGTGAAAGATTTGGGTGTATAAATGTTAAAATTAAAGTTTAGGTGTTTGATATGTAAATGCATAGGTATTGGGTGGTACGTATGTAGATGCCTCAAAAGGAATGATGCTTTTGCGGTTTTTAATATCCAACTCTTCAATATTGTTTGGTAAGAGATATTATGATAGCTGACCACCATAGATTGTTCAACCTACACCGATTTCATGATCTCCAATAGGTTATACAGTCGTTGCTAATTGCAGTCCATGGTCGTAGGAACTCACATTGCTTGAATATTTACATCTTTGCTATGAAATATTATGATATCTGACCACCATTACCGCATTAGATTGTTTCAGCGAACCATTTCATGGTCTCAATAGGCTCTGCAGTCATTTCTACACGCCCTCTAGAGTTTTAGGAAATCACATTTCCTGACTATTTAGATCTTTGCTGTGAAATATTACAATCATTTACGCTGTGGTTGCCCCAGATCAAAATTTTCTTTTCTAATGTAGTTCCCTCAATTTAAGCAAAGTTTAGATCCTCTAAATTTTATGCTTTTCAGTTTCCTTTTTTTAGTTTCTTTTTTTAAATTTTTAGAAAATCTTATTGTAAATTGCTCTATTTTTTCCTTACCTTCTCATCAGTTAGAAGGATGCTGTGATGGGGTTGCCATGCAGGACTTTATCTATCTCACTTTGCACTCAAGTTTTCTGAAACATTCAACTTCTATAAGTCTTGAATGGCAACATGTTGAATGGGTAAGCGATAGTTTGTTAAACAACAAGCCCATCTCTTAATCTATCAGCATGGATACTTTAAAAATGGCAAAAACCTGCAACAAACTCCTCATCTTTGAACAGGTCTACTTATGTTCATCTTTAAGAGTGGAGAATTAGATCTTAATCGATTTATTTTGTGTTCTGATTGAGCAGAGGTCACTGCCAAACATAGAGTTATTTGAGATGAAATATTGGTTGAGATGTGTGTTATATGGCTGGTTTTGGTTTTAAACTTTAGCTGAATTCACAGTTAAATATCAGAAGCTTATTCTACAAAATTATGTTTTTTTTTTTTTTGGATTGTTGGATTGTGCTAAAGAAATTGGCAAAATTATGTTTTTTTTTTTTTTGGATTGTGCTAAAGAAATTGGCGTTATTGGTGCCAAGGAGACAAAATTATGACTTATAAGGACATCTAAGTCTCTATCGTAAATTTTGTTTTGTCTTTTAGTGTGAAGGTGTGGGCTTTGAAATTTGATGCCTTGACCCCTCTTGAAAAATGATTGACGAGAGAGTTTAATTGAGGTTTTGGGTTTTCAGAAGACATATTAGATTGAAGATAAGTCAATGTCCAAATATTTTCCCCTCATTTTGCAAGGGTTTTTTAATCTAGAGTTTGAGCTTTCTCATAGTCCCAAGCTCTTATGTTTAATTACTCCTCCCGATAATGGAAGAACACTTTCAATTAAAGCTAGTCACTAGGTCGCTGATCACTTAGTATATAGTAACACAAATTTAAAGTTTTATTTTGTGAAATTTGATTGAATTTTAAATTGTAGGAATTCATGACCATGAGAATAAAAATATATTGTTGAGGAAATGATGTCAAACCCTATCATGATTCCATGATTTCATTTTCTTGGGCTGTCATGGACCTTGATCTATTTCGTCAGGGGAGATAATCGACCCAACTTAACGAACAATCATTGTCAACAACTATGAGTTGCTTCTTCCAAGTGACCGTTATAGACCTTGGGTGAATATTTGTCTAAGGAGACTAATCTAAATCAACTTTAGCTTACAGAGGGCTTTATGCCCAATCAAATATACAATATTATTCACATCTCAAAGGACAAAAAATCATTGGGGAAAATAAATGACTGTAATTTAATTGTGTCATTTGACTGTAAATTATCATGTTAAAGATCTCATGTCACAACCTTTTTTTTTGTGGAGCCGGCTGGCTAAGCCACTCAGATAAAGGACATGAGCTACATTTTTACTATCACAAATTATTTCAAGAGTAAATATAGTAGTATACTTGATAAAACCCTAGCTCTATGTGAGCTAAGATCAATCATGAATTTGTCTCCCTTGGCAAATTTGTGTGGAAGGTCGATGGGTTTTATTTTTAGTTTAATGATTTTTATTTGATTTGAATATTTAATGATTTTGGATTTTAAGTTTAAATTTAAAATAAACACATTAAAATTTAAAGGTATTTTTGAAAATATTCTCATTTTGTTGAAGTTTACATTCAACACGACCATCATCAAAGAGTTTTAATATTTTATTTGAGCCTTGTCAATTTTGCCATATTCTGAGAGGATGGCTTTGGAAAATTATTTTAATTGAATTTATTCAGTCATATATGAAACTTAATTTTTGAAAATAGTCCATTTCGGTGGAAATATTAGATCAATTCGGTTATTATTGGAGAATTACTTGATTTGAGCCATGTCAACTTTACATTATGCTCCAAAATTATCACATTTATGATTGATACATAATTGAATTTAAGCATTTTCAACTCTATTCCTCTTATAGAGGATCAGATTCATAAATTATTATTTGTATTCATTTAGATAGTCTTTAAAGCATAATTTTGAAAATAGACCATTCGACAATCAACACGATCAACATCGATGTATGATTGAAATTTACATCTTGATTGTAAATGATCGAGTTTAAGATTGACATATGATTGAATCTGAACCTCATCAACTCTGTCTTGTTTATAGAGGTTTGAGTTCGTAAATTATTATTTGAATTTATTTAAATAGACTTTAAACAGTTTTAAAAATAGACTTATCTTGTTGAAATTCACAATCAACACGATTTTTATCATGCTGTTTGGATTCTTGGATTTGAATCCCATCCAATTTACATTTTGGTTGTAAAGGAGTGGTTTTAAGATTGACACATGATTGAATTGAAACTTATCTCTCTGTTCTGCTTACAGAAGATCGTGTTCATAAATTATTATTTTAATTTATTTAATTAAACTTTAAAGCATAATTTTGACGATATACCAATTCGACCAAAATTCACAGTAAATATTGCTATAATTGGGGATTTGAATGCTTGATTTGAACTTTGTCAACTTTGTTCCATTTTATTGAGAATCGAGTTTATATGTTCATTTGTTATATGATAGAACCTATCAATACTATCTCGTTCATAGAGGCTCATGTCTATGCGTTAAGCTCATTATTGCATTGTTTGGAAAATATAATGGCATAAAAAATATCATTTTAAAATATATCTTTTAATAAAAGATTTGATGATTTATTTTGGATGAAATATTCACCATTTCTTATAGAGGACTGATATTCTATTATTATTCAATCTCATCAACTTTAATCTTCTAAAAAAAATGATTAAACCGACTAATTGACACAATCTCGTCAACTTCAGTCTTTTCGGACCATATTGATCAGCGAGACTCAATATTTTTAGCTCCAATCCTAATTAAAGGGAGGATCATACTCATTGAGACTTATGACCATGTCTTATGTCTAAGGCTGCCAATTTGAGAGCATTCATAATTTAACATTTCGAATTTAATTTATGAAAAAAGAGATTTTGTAAATATTCAAATTATTGAAATATTTTTAGAATACTTGATTGCTTTTCAAAGCAAAGCAAAATAGGTGTTTGCAGAAATAGCATATTTTTTAAATCAAGATATTTTAATATTCAATTTAATTTAATCCCGCACAGTATTTTTGGACCGTATGATCAAGTATTTAGTGTGTTGGTCGAAGCATCTTCATGTTTAAAATTTTGTAAATTAAATATATTTTAGTGTGCTTATGCTTGCCATTGACACATTTTGATGCACTTGGATGATGAAATTGTATGGACTTTAGTGCATTTGCATAGTGTGCTTGCATACTAATTATGATATCTTAATTATTAATGCAATACATATATGATGGATTATTCAAACAACATTTGCACACTTTTCAAGATATGCACAAATTTTGAGGTAGTGAAAGTGATGTGAAATAGCTTTGAATTTGTTTTGGTTCTGATGTCCAAACATTAAATGTTTGCATGAG